GGGACAGGGTCTTTGGACGCATTGCAGCTCGGATGGGCAGGGATCCAGGCACACAGGAGCCAAGGAATTGGTATACCCTAAGCATGGCAGCTTACAGTTCTGCTCCAGAGAGGGGTTTCCCCACTGTAACAATGCTCCGGCAGGGGAGAGTTTTCCGGGCGAAGTTGTTACAGAGTTCGGCTCCGGCTGGTGGAGTGTAACAACTCTGCTCGGCTAGGGTTCCGCTCTGCTCCAGCGAAAAGTTGTTTCTTCTCTGCTCCACTCCACTCCGGTGAAAGAAGGTCTGACCCAAACCTCATTCAAGAGATTTATTGGGAGGGAGGAATCCACGAGGGTGGCTGCCTCTGCCAGGGCGGGAAAAGGCAGTTGCCAATTGAACAGGTACAAGGCTTATAGGACTTCTTGGTGGTGGTGGTGGTGGTGGTGGTGGGGTTCCAGGGGGAAGATTTTCAGGGCGGAAATTGGTCAGATTTCAATATGAGTTTGGGCAAGCTCAGAGACTGGCTGAATTTTGACCTCAGGGATTGGTTGATTTTCTTGCTCAGGGTTTGGTTGGCTTTGGTGTTAAGTTCGTCAGTGGTAGACTGTTTCTTTGGCTCTGGTTTCAGGGCCAGGGTGTGTTTCTTTGGCTGGCCCCTAACCCTACAGTCTTACTCTTCCAGGATGCCCTGAAACTGGTGGCCAATCCTCTTGCCATCAGCTCCCTCACTGGTGTACTCTGCCACCTGTGGCCTTACTAAAGTTCTTGATTAAAATCCCAACTCCATTTGGACTCCACAGCCTGACCTAATAATTTACACAGCCAGTGTGGAGGCAAGAGCTTGTGGGCAGAGCAAGTTGTAAACACACTCCTTAATCGTCGTCACATAGCAGGCACTGAAACTACTGTAGGGTATCACCTACCTAGCTGTGTGTCGGTCTCCAAGACCCACACTGGCACAGCATTGGCATGGTAACTTCATTCTCAACCCCTTACCATTTGATGCCAGAGGCAGCCAGGGAAGCTCATGGGGAACAAGCGCGCTCCAGACCTAGTTCATAGGCTAACTCTCCGCGCGAGGCTGCAGTTGCTATGGAAACGGAGAGGAAAAAAAAACAAACTGGGCTCCCCGCGGGCCTGGCAGGCCCTCAGAAGACTCTAACGGCGGCGGGAGGACCGGTGCTAGGGACGCGCGGCGGACTAGGGTTCACCGCCGTGCTGGCCCAGCGCCTGCAGCCCGCCCCGCCCCCACCTGTGCCCCTCCCCAGCCCCTCCCCCACTTCCCGCGAGTTTCGGTAGGTACCACTTGGACGGGCCCACCCGAGCCTCACCACTGGGCGGCGCTGGCCAGACCGGAGTGCCGGGGTTTCGGACTCAGGAGCTTCTATCTGTGCAGATTACTTAATTTATTGATATTAATTTAGTCTGGTTGACACTGAGGCTGGCTTAAAACTTTTTAGGTAGTCCAGGCTGGCCTCGAACTCGAGGCAAAACTCCAGTCCTAGCCACCCTAATTCTAGGATGACAGATTTGCGCCACTGCGTCCGAACTGCTCAATGCATTTTTAAGTAGTTTGTTTTCCTCAAAGGAAAATCCCGGCAACTTTAGCCGAGATTTTAATGGCTTTATTGGTGTGGGGTGGCGAATGATCTGGTGGTATTAGAGTGCAAGACGAGGGAAAGAAAAAAAAGCGAAGCGGTTGGGAGAAACAACACAGCTGTGATGATGATAGGCACTGAATCTCGCCATGTTAAGGTGCGCTTGAGTGCGTGTGCGTGTGCGCGCGCTTGAGTGCGCGCGTCCGCCGCTGTCCCTCCTGTCTCAGCTCGCGCAGGGGTTTAAAGCCCCGGCGACGCGGGTTCCCAGACAGCACACCTGGGTGCTGCGGGGCGGGAGAGACTGGTGTGCGAGCCTGCGAGCACTGATTGGCCGTCCGCGCCGCGCCTTACTTGAACTGCTACCTGCTGGGGCTGGTTCCGCACGGCGAGCCCTTCTTCACCTGCGAGTGGCTTTTCCTTGTCCCTGCAGGAGGCGGTCCACGAACTGGTGTTGCAGGCCCGCGGAGTGCTAGCGGGTCCAGCGTCCAGCGGAGAAGATGAACGGCCCCAGCGCCAGGTCCAGCCACCTGTCGCAGCCAGTGGTGAAGAGTGTGCTGGTGTACCGCAATGGGGACCCCTTCTTCGCCGGGCGCCGTGTCGTCATTCATGAGAAGAAGGTGTCCAGCTTCGACGTCTTCCTCAAGGAAGTGACGGGCGGCGTGCAGGCGCCCTTTGGGGCCGTTAGGAACATCTACACCCCGAGGACCGGCCACCGCATCCGGAAACTGGACCAGATCGAGAGCGGGGGCAACTACGTGGCTGGGGGCCAGGAAGCCTTCAAGAAGCTCAAGTGAGTCAATGTGCCTCTGCGCCGTGGGCGTGGTGGGTCTAGCAAGGTGCTGGCAGTTGCAGGTAGGGTTGAAACTGGAGAAGGAATTTCACTCCGGTAGCAATAGGTGTGGATTCTCAATGACGAGCTAAACAGTGTAGAAACAACAGCATTATTTGGTTATTTCGAGACACAGTCCCTGTAGCTCCAGCCTGAAACTTACTATGTAGATCAGGCTGGCTTTGAACTATCTGCTTTTCTCCTGCCTCAGTCTCCCAAATGTGAGATTACAGGCTTATTTTGTATTTTTATTAAAGCCCACTCCGTTAGCTTAAAAAAAATTTCTTCAAATTAATTCCAAGGGCTGAATGTCCTGTTATGATCTCCCTCCTCATTGTTGGAATTCCTTCATTGCAAGCAGAATGCACACAGCCAGGTGCTGTGCCCTCTTCCCGTATCCTGGGTGTTTGTGCTAGTCACAGAGTGCTTGGAAAAGTCCACTGACTTTTGTGTCTGTCTGTGCATGTCTCTCTCTAGGACCCGCAGGCCACTTTCCCCACGGTCATTTTCTGTGAACTAGCAACAGTTTAAGGTCTGCGGCGTGAACTAAGATAGACAGACTTGACTCATCTTTGAGGACTTCCCACCTGAACACTGATAATTTTAATGCACATCACAAAGAGATAGGAACAGTAAGAAAAGTACTCAAGTTTATGTGGGAGTTGAGAGTTGTCAGGAGTGGACAGGATAGTCAACGCTTACATTTCATGTTCTAAGGCTTTACTGACGTATATGTTGGAGACTCTACCCATTTCCATGATTTCCAGAGTTGCAAACCATCACTACAAATTCATTTTACAGTATTTCGATCACTTACCTTTAGAAATTGACAACCCCTAACTTCCTCTTCCTCCAGGCATGAGGAAACCACCAATCTATTTCCTGTAACTAGGGGATAGAATAGTGCAGCACGTGGACTTGACGTCTGTCCTGTTTGCCACTGAAACACTTTCAAGGTTCATCCACACTGTAGCATGTACCAGTCCCACTCTCCAGTTGAGTAGTTTTCCATGACATGGATCTAATGATTCTTCTTCATCCATTAAACAGTTGATGGATATTTGGGTTGTTCACTCTGGGGCTATTATGAAGGATGTTTCTGTGAGCATTTGTTTTCTGCTTTTTATTTCTTGGTTGTATCTACCAATGGAATCATGGAATTACAGATAATCTATATTCTATAGCTCTAAAATAGGATATTTTAATTTAAATTTATCTTGGGCCCCAGAATAGCAAAAAGTTTAAAAATATTTATTATAAATCTATTTCCTGTGATTATTTTCTAATTGTATGGAAGCATTTCCACCAAAATACTTCCATATACCAAATACCAAAGTTCTCTAGTCATGTCCTTGTTCACTTGGCTTGTATAAGCTGAACTCCAGGGGTCCTGCTCTCTGGGAATGGAAACAGTCTCCTTATGGAAGACAAGGGGTATTTCTGAATTTATTTTTTTCCTTCTCTGAAACTTCTCTTAGGCATAATTTGTCTAACTCTAGAGAAAAGAGCTCAACGAAACACTGTGGGTGTCTAAAAGAAATTTAGAACTGTTTTTGTTGTTTCTTTGAGAAGACCTCATGTAATCCTGGCTAGTCTTCAACCCCATATGTATCCAAGGATGACCTTGAACTCCCAAGTTCCTGCCTCAACCTTCAGAAACTTAGAAGTACAACCAGAAGACTTAGGCTTTGCTAGCTCCTTATAGCTGTGTTTGTGGGCAAGTATTTGCAATCAACCAATCAGTGGTGGAGTTGGGGGTGGAGTTGAATTGAGAGAGTGCTACATAGCATGCACAAATCCTTGATCCCCAGAACCCCACAGAACCAGATATGGTGCATACATCTGTACCCTGATCTCTTAAGAGGCAGAGGCAGGAGAATCATAAGTTTATGACCCTCTTCGTCTACATTGGAAGTTCACGGTCAGTCTGAGCCTTATAACCTTCCTGCCTCTGTCTCTCAAAGTGTCACTAAACCTGGTTTTATGTGGTACTGGGCCAGCCTTAGATGCACGGACCCTATGTTAAAACAATAGAAAGGTAAAAACTATGGCTATGAATGCATTTTGTAGATGCCACTGTATTTTATAAATACAAGGTTTCTCTATGGCCAGTATCTTGCATTATGTCTATATTTTAAATTAAATTATTTTCATAGCTGAGTGTAGTGGGGCATGTAATCCTATCACCTGGGAGATAGAAACAGGAGGAACAGGAGTTGAAGACCAGCCCAGGTAATGTGAACTCCCATCTCAAACAACAACGGCAAAAACAACAAAAACAATCCATTTAGAGACAGAATAATTTTTGTGAGAATGGAAATCTGGTTCAGGTTTTGAACAGCCGAAAGCTTTAGACTATAGTCATTCACATCTCTCTTTGTTGGAGTGGTATTACCAATTCAGGATGAAAAACTATAGCTTCAAGACAAACAGAACTTGCTTTTCAAACCACTTTTTATATGTATGTAGTGGGTCTGTAGTGTTAATTTTTGCTTTTAATTTCACACACGAGAACACAGAAACTAAGTTTGCTATTGAAGTCCCCACAGTTAGTTTTCCATGCTGACGTTGGTGTTCAAGTAGCAGTGAGTATCTGTCTATGCTTGTAGGGACAGACACTAAAGATTTAAGTGCTGGGTGTTTGAAGCTTAGCGTTGTATGTTTGTATAACAACCAAAGCAACCGACAGAATGAAAGAGTCTGAAGAGTGCTGAGGATCATTTGTGGGTTTTCACTTTGAGCCAACATAATGTTGGAGAAGACAGCAAAATCCCTGTCAACAGGTGACCAATTTTCTGCTGGAATGTCTTTCACTTAGACATTTCTCATATTTTTGACATTGTCTCTAAAGTCCAGGTAAGTTTTAAATCTTTCTTTTACAGAACTTTTAGAGAGTATTTTTCTTAAAACTTTTCTTGGGGCCCATGAGACGGATGGTCGAATGGTTAAAGGTGCTTGTGTTGCAAGCTCAGTGACGTCAGTCTGACCCCTGGAGCCCAGGTCAAGGTGGCAGGAGAGCACCCGTTTACAGAACTGCTCTTGGACCCCACATGTGAGTGGCAGCGTGCGTATGAACAAGCTCACCCGAGTGCACAGACCCACACCTCTAAACGTTCCTCACACATTCTGGAGTTGTCTCACCTCCATTAACCTGTTAGGTCTGAAACACTTAGGATATAAAACAGGAGCTATTCTCCTGTATGCAACAGAATATTTTGTTGTCTTGATAGAAATACATCCAGGGAGTTCCCCAAAGACCAATTTCATTGCTGATATGGATTGTCCACACCATCTCACGCAATTGCTATTTGCATAGGGAAATGTAGTTTAAGTTCCATACCAATTAACATTCTGTCCAAAAAAACCCAAACATCATCAGGCGATGGTGAGCCCAATTCAATAGCCAAAGTTAATTCTAATATATAAACTTGTAACAACTTATTATTGCTGTATGCACCTGTGTGCAGGTGTGTGCATGCACAGGGTGAGGGCGGCAGTTAGAGGACTACTTTGGGAAGTCAGTTCTCTCCTTCCACCATGTAGGTCACAGGGATGGAACTCAGGCTTAATGGCAGGCTTCTTTACCATCTGAATAAACTCTTTTTTTTTTGACTACTTGTCTGCTATAGTAGTTAAGATAGTTGAGTCTCTAATTGTGGTTATAAATTAGAAGCTAGATTTATATTTTTATGTTAAAATAATTAGTATCCCTTATTTATAAGACAGTTTGGTAAGCATGTAAAACTGGAACTAGATGACACTGATGGGCTGGTCCTCTGAAGTTGACAAAGATAACACATTTGCAAATTGTGCTTAGGCAACAGTCACTAGTTAGTATCTGTCGTGGAGAGGAATGGGATAGTGAGAGTATCAGAGGTCAACTAGCCCCATCTGTTCGTAAGCTGATCCAAGGCCTAAACCACCCCACATGGCTGGCCGCTTCGGTGTCACTGGGACCCTACCCAGTCTTTCCCAGGTTCGACTCTGACGCCCAGTCTGTCTTTCCCAGGCTTTCACTATTTCCTTTGACCTAACTTTGGTAATGAATGCAATTCATAGAATTTACAGAATGAAGGAGCTAGAGGGTGAGTCAGTTGGTAGAGCACTTGCATGCCTTGCGTTTGGGCCCCAGCGCCACATAAAGCAGATGTGGTGGCGTTTGCCTGTAATCCCAGCACTAGGGAGGTAGAAGCAGGAGGATCAGAAATTCAAGGTTACTCTTGGCGACACAGTGAGTTCAAGCCTAGTTTTCAGTGTATAAAACACTGTCTCTAAAAAAAGGAGAGCGTGAGGGGGAGCGGAGGGGGCGGGAGAAGGAGAGGAGAGAAGGAGAGTAAGTCCAGAGTGATAAACTACTATTAGGGAGAAATCTTCCTACCAGAGCATGTATTCCCTCCACTTTAGTTCTCTTGATGTTTAGGCAGATGCTTTCAGCTTTGGTTGGTGAGGCCATGTGAACAGCGGCCTCACAACACTTGTGTCTTCTGATTTCTGCTCAGGCGTATACATTTCCTATGACTGGCTTTACTTTGTAATAATGCTTACACATTTTATGTAACTGACTTCAAACATGTAAAGTCAATCCTTACTTTTTTTTTTTTTAACCTTCTAGTTACTTGGACATAGGAGAAATCAAGAAAAGACCAATGGAAACTGTTAATACTGAGGTAATGCAAATTCTATTTTGAAGCTTTGAATTAATGCCATCTTTTGGTTGTTGTTTCTTGTAGTATGTCTGACATGTGGACAACACTCTAATAGTAAGATACGAGTTCTTAAATGTATATGAGGGGCATTATATGTTTTAAGGAAAGAGTGGTCCTTTCTTTGCTGGAGTATTTTCAGAAATGAAGAGATAAGTCCTCAGGCATGCAGGATTGGATGAAACCTTCTCCCATACAAGTCTCCCTGTTCAAAGTGAGAAGATTTTGAGTAGTGGTGGATACATCTCTGTTCAAAGCCCGTAAGGAATCCCGCCTCCCTCGTGACAGCTTGCCTGTCAGAGGCAGCCAGGAACACACTTCCAGCCCGAGGCTCTCCTCAGACAAGCGGTCCCATGTTGGCCTTGCTGTGTCATTACCCTTGGTTTCTTTGAGGCAGGGTCTCTCCATGGTCCTGGCTGTTCTGAAACTCACTCTGTAGACCAGGCCGGCTTGGAACTCACAGAGATCCACCTGCCTCTGCCTCTGGAGTGCTGGGATTAAAGGTGTGCGCCTCCATGCCTGGCTCAAAAATGTGTCTGCTTTGTTTTCATTATTTTTATCTTTTATTGTGCTAAGGATCAAACCCAAGGCTTTACACATGCTAAGCAAGCTCTTTGCTACCGAGTTACACTCCTGTCCTTCCTCTATCTATCTATCTATCTATCTATCTATCTATCTATCTATCTATCTATCTATCTATCTATCTATCATGTTGGAGACAGGATCTTCCTAAGCTTAGCCTCCAGCTAATGTAGCCTAGGTTTCCTTTGAACTTAAATTTCTGTCTGGGCTTCCAGAGTAGCTAGGAATGTGTGTCACCATGCCTTTTTGTTTGTTTTTGTTCTGGGGATCGAACCTGGGACCTTGAACATGCTAAGCAAACATTCTGCCACTGGGTTCCAGCCTCAGCTGATGTAATGTGTGAAAACCACTTCCAACTTGCATTAACTTTCTACTGGGCACAGCTGACAGACTCTTGCAGGAAGGAGGGTTGGAGGGGAGCCGTGTGCACCAGATAACCAGAGCACCACGTTCTAAGTTGCTTCTGAAAGCCTGGTGGAACCTCTAGTAATTCTATAGCATGTTTTCCTCGGTTCGTAGGTGAGAACAGTAAAAACTAAAGCTAAGATGATAGCCTGAAGTGCTCCAGTGAGGCATGGGCAGATGTAGGTCAGACTGAACTCTGCCCACCAGCCCAGGTGGACACTCTTCCCATTATGTCTCTCAAATCCAGCACTACCATATAGAAAAGCAGTTCCTCCGTTCAAAGTCCAGACCCCGGAGACACTGTGTACAGTCTCACCCCTTTCTCTTCATTCTACTTAAGCATGCACCAAGCTGCCTAGATCCCTCCAGGAAAGTCATCGAAGGTAAAATCTCGAATTGTGCATTACATGAAGAATGTGAGGTTACGTTCATTATTCAAGGAGTATTCACTGAATGGTTTATGGAAGAGGTGCTATTTCCAGATCTTGTTTAAAACAATATATTGTCTATCGCTTCTGTTTTTTTTCAATGCATATCACATTAATGAAAGTGATGGGCCTTAAAGCTTAAAACAGACAAGGTATACATTTTTCTGATTATGTTTATATTATGGATAAAGAATGAGCTCTTGTTAATAGTTATACTGAGCAGAAATAGAGAATAGATTAGTGGATTAGTTCTGGACATGAATCTGTACACACTTGTTTGAAACAGGCCGCCTTTGAAATAGGATGCGATCGGTGTTGAACATGTATGTCTGTGGTAGAGTTTGAAATGTATGAATTCCTTGACAGCTTGAGCTCCAGCCTCTGTGGTGTAGGCGTGAGTCTAGTAAAGTGTAAGAGGTGTGCAGCAGGTTTATTGAGAGTAACTTTTCCATGCTGCATGTGGTGCTGTATAACTGTGATCCTAGCACAGCCTAAAGGTCCGGAGTTCAAGAGAATCCTCACCTACATAGTGCTTTAGAGGCTAGCTGGGGCTGTACGAGACCTTGTCTCATAAAACCAGCATAAAGTCAAAATCAAAACAAAAATAACATACAAAACCAAGATACCACAACCATCTGTAAGTCCAGTTCCAGGGAATCCGATGTCTTTTTATGGTTTCTATAGGAAGCATACACACACACACACACAAACACACACACACACACACACACACACACACACACACACACATACACACACACATACACACACATGCACACACACGCAGAGTTCACATGCATATTCAGGCAAAACAATCATACATACATAATTAATATATCTAAAGAAGGAAATATCGCTTTAACCGTTAGGTCTGTAGTGTTATTGTGGTGGGGGGCGGCGTACGTGCCATAGTACTCACCTGGAGGGCCACTTGTAGGAGGGGATTCCCTTCTCTCCTTTCTCCTTCTACCATGTAGGGCCCGAGGCTGGAACTAGGCAGCCAGGCTTTGGCAAATGCCTTTATCTGCTGAGCCATCTCACTAATTCCTGATTTACTCTCTATGGTTTCAGTGACCCAGCAAGTTCTAAATCGTGTGAGTACGCTAGTGATACCCTTTCCAGGGTATCCACGCCATGCACCTCACTGCTGTTAGTCAGGAAGCTGCTGCTTTGGTGTTCAGATTGACCATCTCAGCATTGCTGTGCTTATTTAACTTAATGAAGGTCCCAAACACACAAGCAATAGTGCTGGGAGTTTACTGATGCTGAAGAGGAGCTGTAAAGCGCTACATTAAGTGGAAATGTAAGAGTTGCATAATTTTTTTAACATTACTTTCTTATGACTCTTGTCCTGTGTATGATCAGTAGGCTCTGGTACTGTCTGTGGAACTGTGCCGATGTTCACAGGAGGTCTTGGAAATCTGATTTGTATAGACAGAGGGTAGGATGGGGGTGGGGACTGCTCGTTGCTCTCTGTGGAAAAGTAGTTGTTGGTTGCCCTGAGACCCCCAACTCTTGCATAGGCAAGTCTTGATGTGGGGAAGTAGCTTTGTCTTCCACACATGATTTATGATCAAACTTTTGGAATTCAGCAAGTTCATAAGTTAGAAGACTGTGTTCAAACCTTGAAAAAGGACTTGGAAGCCTCTCGTAAAAAGTATGAATCCTTCTTCTCTGATCTAAGGCAAGGATTTCCTCCCAGTACTCAGTGTCCACTGAGAACACACTGCACACCTTCTGCAGAACCCATGCATGGCCACTGCTGGAGTACACAAACATGTGAGAGAGAGGCCGTCAGTGACCACTTGGAAACTGGATTAGAGTACACAGAATTTCAGAGTTTAGAGTTGTTCCAAAGGGAAGCTTCGGCAGAGCAGTGATACAAAAATACCTTTTAAGATGCATTATCATGAATGATAAACACTGCTTATTAGAGGAAATTTCCTTCAAACCCGAGGTAATTCCCTCCAGTGAGTTTACAGTAGCAGGATTGCACACCAAAAGCACCCCAGCAGAGTGCACCTAGTCACTTTAAGCATGGTCGTTCTAATTATTCCCAGCGGGCTTTGCTGCAGAAAGGTCTCTGCACTTCTTTGGGGTGATGCAGAACAGAGGAGGAGTCCGAGGCACCAGAGCGGGGAACAGCTCCCTCTGGGCTGGGACTTAGCATTTCTGTTCTGCCCCCGGTGCCCGCAAGACTGGTGCACTGTGGCTGCTTTTTACATAGCGATATAGATAGAGCGGTGCCCGTGGCCGGGCGGCAGGTGCTGCTCACTCGGGTCGAGCTTCTCACCTCAGCATTCAGAGCGTTCTGACTGCCGTCATTGCTGCTCTGCCCCCAGGCTCATCTCCTTTGTCTCTGTGTGTGTGTGGATGCATGTGCACCTGGAAGACACAGCTCAACTTCAGTGTCTTCCTCAATTGTCCTCCATCTTCTTATTTGACCCTGAACCTGGAGCTTCTTGGTTTATCTAGATTGGCTGTCCTGTGAGCTTCAGGGAGTCTCCTGTCTCTGTCCTCCCAGAGCCAGAGTTAAGACATGTGTCCACCGGCTAGTGAGTACTGGGAAGCATTTTCCTAACTAAGCTACCTTTCTCCCCTTCCTCTCGGCCAAGTTTCAGACCTCATTATAGGCTCTCACGTTCAAGTCAGCTTGCCTGGTTCTTCTGTCCTTCCTCGACTGTGTGATCTGTGAGAGCGCCCCGTCCTCACACAGCAGACCCTTCAGATTCTGCTGTGCAGCCCCTCACCAGCTCACGGTGGGTCTCACTCCTCTGCATGTCGTTTCTGCTCCCTCCGTTCTTTGTGTTTCTCTACCTTGTCTGTTTTGCTTCCATATGACTGAATACCTACAGGCACCATCGAGAAGGCAGAATAACAAGCAGTGACAAGACACACTTAGCCTCTTACTTTCCTGAATTTGTGGTGGTTGATGGCAGAGGGCTCAGCCCATTGTGGGTGGTGCCATCCCTGGGCTGGTGGTCCTGGGTTTTATAAGAAAGCAGGCTGAACAAGCCATGGGGAGCAAGCCAGTAAGCACCCCCTGCCCATGGCCTCTGCATGAGGTCCTGCCTCCAGGTTCCTGCTATGACTGAGTTCCTGCCTTGACTTCCCTCAGCAGTGGAGTGTGACCTGAGAGTTGTAAGCCAAAATAAACCTTTTCCTCTCCAAGTTGCTCTTGGTCATGGTGTTTCATTGCAGTAATAGTAACCCCGACTGACTAGAACAGTGATTCAATTTGAAGACAGTTTGTGTTAAATTGTTTGCTTTGGGATTATTGTGTTGCTCCAAAACTATCTGTGGACCCTTCTGATGGAAGCTTCCATCTGCCCTGACCTAAATGTGAATGTCACCTCTTATTCCTGTATTCCTTGTTCTGTCTGTGGACAGAGTCTTTCAGACAGTGACATTTGTAAATGGTTATTCAGAGTACAATTTCTTTAATCATGAAAGAGCCATGGCTCACTATGTATAGAGAGGGACAGAACAGGTACCCTAACTCCAAAGCTCTTGGTATGTCCTTGGAGCTGTGTTGAATGTGGTATATAA